CAGCATCAGACGGATGGTCCTTTTGTGTGGCTCTGGGGGTGTCGTGACCTCATTCCCAGACGAGTGTCTGGGGCAGGCTAGGCGGGCTGGTGTGGGGTTGGGGGGGAGCTTTCCCCACCTCCTTGCTCTTGGTGTCATTTACTAAGGCTCCTGTGACCTTTGTCTGAGCTTTAATTCAGAAGGATGGCGCTTCATGTAGCTGTAGAATATGCCAACCCCTACCTTCTCTTTAGGCAGGCAGAGATGGAATTAAAGGTATCCTCGAAAAAGAGCTGCTCGATAAATTACAAATGAAAACTATCTCCCTCGGACTAAAAAAGAAAAAAAAAAAAAGCCATATGATGTCCTTCATCAATCACGTGGCCTGGGGATTTGTTTGGGGGTGGGGATTGTGGCCTCAGTCAGCCCCACCCTGATGAGGAGCTACCCCTAATTGTGGTGCCCCCCCCCCTCAGAATCAGTATGAGCTGTGCTACCTTCTCTGGTAATAAACTGAGAGAATGTGCTCCAGGAGTCCCTGCGGGCATCGTCTGCACCCCCGCCCCCCACGACATTTCTCTGTGATTCTCTCCCACTGGCTGCTTCAATCACTGTTAGCCAGAGGCTCCAGTGGCGGAGCAGCTTGACAAGACGCTGACACGCGGTGGTATTTTTAGAGCCTCGGCGGTCCGAGCCGGCTCTGGCGACCTGAGTCGGGGTGTAAAGCGAAGCAGCCCCCCCATCGCTGATGTCTTCTCCCATTCATCGTGGCTGCACACACCCCCCACCCCTCCGTATTGAGGTGCTCACTGTCCTTACCCTGGAACAATATACTTTATGGCTGATCTCTGTTTGGTCCGATCCATTTGTACTGGCACCACCCATCCCCTTCAGTGACCCTCAGCTGTTGGCAGCAGGATTGGGGAAAGATGTCACTCATTTACAGTAATCTGTGCTGTGACGTATGGATGTGATGGCTGTACTCAGGGCAAAAATACCCTATTCTTTCAGCGTCCCGCTGTTCTTGTGTGCGACAGTCAGGATGCAGCTAAAAACGCTGTTTTTAGAATGATCGCACTGCCCAGAAAAGTCCAGTCATTTGACATCTGTGTTGTTTTTCCGACTTTCCTTCAATGACCCAAAGTCCCAAATTAAGTCTGGTTTAATGATTGTGTTCCCCCAAGTTTGGATGGTTTGGAGCTGATATTTTGGTCTGTCTGGGTCTCGTCTCTGCATTAAGTAAATGCAGCATTAAAGCTTTTTTTTTTATTATTATTTTTACAAGTCCGGTTTCAGCCCAACACTGTTTCCTCTGACTGCTGCCCACTTAAGTGTTAGTTACCTTGACAATGAGAGCAAAAACAGGAAATGTAACAGTGTAAACAAATTTTTTCACTGATGGTCAGTTTGCCCGTAACTAAGTGTAAGTTCTGAGAAATGCCATGCAGTGCTCTAGAAACCTTGGTTTGTGTTTTGAAGGTATTCGGTGTTCATAGTGTGCCTTTGTGAAAGGACAGTGCGACCATTTTAAAGCCCCAGGGGGCTGAAAGTGACCTGGGCCGCCCTACAGATTTAGCTCCTGCTTATTATAAATCTGAAGCTCTGCGTGCTTCTTCAGTTAGTTTGTCCCCTGATGTTAATTTGGGACAGTGCATTTGCTTAGGTGTGGCCCTGTTACGCTGCTGTGTATCGGTCGGGGGGGTTGATCGAAAAGTCGCCCCCTGCTTTGGTTAGCTTGCTTATTCAGGCATTCAGAGATGCAAGTTTTGAGCTTTTGTAGTGAATGGCAAAAGAAATGGGGCTTTGCTTCCTGCTTTAGAAAGTCTCTTACATCAGGTAATGCTCTCTGTATTAGAGCAGTCAGTCAGTCAGTCACTGGGTGGCACTGAAGTCTCGCACCTTTGAATCCTGTTCCCCAGTGCTTGGTGTCTGGGGTTTCTACGTTACGCCCATTTGTCGTGGTTCCCTCTGGGTGCACCTTTCTCTCTGGCCTCTGTAGCTGTCCACAGAGCTGCATAGTGCTGGCCTCGGCCAGTGTGGCCATTAGACCGTTTCTGTGCTTTGTGGAAATGCCAATAAAAAGGCTTCTTGCCTAAGTATACGAGGGTGGGGTGGCTTCCTGGTTGAAAAAGCAGAAGACATCACATAAAAAGCACGCCATACTTCGGATGCGTCGCAGGGCAGCCTGCCCCAGCTCTGAATGAATATTTAAATGTGCTCAGTCTTTCCAAACATACCATCTATTAAAGATGCATTCGATGGCGCACAGTGCAAACCATGATTAGGAGTCCAGTTGGGCAGTCAGGAGAGGGTGTGTTCTGGATGCCTTCTTTTTTTTTCCACTCCCTCCCCCCATTTTTGTACTCCTGATGCTTTGTTAAGGGAGTCGGGCCCCTGCCAGTTGTCTTTACCTCCCTCTTTCAGCCTCAACAGGACGCAGTGCAGTTTTCCCCCCTCTTTTCTGTTTATTATAAGAAATTCACAGCATGACTCATGTTTTCCTGTCTTCTTGCTGATGTGTCAGCCCCCCCCCCCCGAGTGCCTATGCTCGTGGCCGGTCGATGGGAGGGCAGGGGTTAGCCCCTCAGACAGCGGGTGACTTCTGCAGAGTCACACCGCTCCCAGTGTGAGTCTCAGCCCAAGGGGCCGCTGAGCCACGACCCGGTTGCTGTGAGACCCCATCCCCCCCCCCACCCTCAGCCTCGCATGCCGGCGGGATGGCTCTTCCCAGCATCGGCTCGTTTAGGGGGTCGACTGCAGCCTACCGCTTGGCGTTTAGGAATGGCGTGAGTCGGATGGCAGCACCTATTAGTTAAGCTGAGTGAATTTGCTGTAAGGTGAACGCGGCGGCGCCTCTCTTGGCGGACTGTCTACAGCGTCTCAGTCACGGAGCTGACAGTCATACAGAAACACCCACCACCGGCCTCCAGGAATAAGGGGATGAATCACTTTAGCGGGGGAAGGCCTTCCGTGTCTTAGGAATGGGACGCATCGGACCATATACTGCTGGCTATAAATCAAATAAGTGATAATGGGGTTTGAGGCGCACGCATCCTTTTAATCCCCCTCCCTGTCCCGCTGCTCTGCTCTTAGAGAGGGGCGCTCTTTGATTGTGGAAAACTGGTCTTGAAAGGGAACCTGCAGGCAAAACCACCCCAGAGTTCTGGGCTCCTTTCCAGTGTGTGTAGCTCCCCAGCGGGTTGTGTGGGGGGGGGGAGGACTGCTGTTTACGCCTCCGCGGAGCTGTTTGTTTACCGGCCTGCCGGTCTGTTTGCGTGGCCGGTCGTCACCGCCGTCCACCGGGCCTGTCTCCCAGCCGACCGTCTGCTGTGAACCCACGCAAGCACGCGCACACACACACACACACACACACACACACATGCAGGCCACGCACTGCGAGAGCTTCCATTCAGGCTGCCTGCTTCAAACGGGACCTTCCCTGCTCCGCTGTTCAGGAATTCGCTCTTTAATTTTGCATAATTAATTCCCCTGGCTGCAAATAGGAAACGATCGCCGCGTAATTGCTTTCTTGGACGACAGTCTGGTGTAATCGCGTTTACGGGACGAGCGTCCCCGTTAGAGCCTGGAAGTCTGTGAGCGTCGCTGGCCGAGGCCGTCGGCACTGTGCTGGAAAGCAGATGTTGAGAGATGTTTCCTCTGCGTCACGTGCGGTCTCTGGTTTAGCGCTTACATAAATGTCGTCTGTACGGTAGCTGCTCGCCGTGCGGGGAGGGGAGGGGAGGCAGTGGGGCTCCAGCTGCACTCCAGAGCCCCTTCGTGAGGCGCCCCCCCCCCCTCCTCTACTGGGGGGGTGTGCAGTGGCTTTGAGAGCTCTCGGCCTTTGACACGGTCGCCCTGGCCTTTCGGTTCAAGCCAAATCGTGTGCCATGTCAGTCCGCAATCACTCGTCTCACCGGATACAAGCTACTAGTGTCACCGCCACGGTCCCTTTATCCACACGCCTCAGTGTCTTGAGGAGCCAAGCTCCGATAATGATCGCATGGCATTTCGCATTATTAGTGACTGTACAGCAGTACCGGCCACATGGGCATTAATGTGAAGGCGCTCTATGTCTGCAACTTAAGTTCTTTCATAGCCCCGTTTAATGTCATTTCCGATAAAACATGCCACTTCTGTTAAAGCAGGAGGCACGCCTAAGTCATAGCGGCATAATCAGATCTGCTTTAATAGGAGCAAACTGAGAATCACAAAGATCGCACAAGGGGAAGTTCATTATTGGTGAAGAGGCTTCTGAATACAGTGGATTGCCTGCATAAAAGCGCACTTGTATATGCCTTATTTTGTGTTTTCTTTTTTTGTGTTTTTTTTTTTTCTTCTTTCAAGAAAACGTCCCCTGAACCGGACCTTGAGGAAATGGAAATTTAATCCCATCCTTTTCCAATAGTGCGTAAAGCCTTTCAAAATAGTCCTTTGCTCTGCCCAAATGTTTCCACTTGATTCTCTTTTCCTGCGGTGGGACAAACAGCCTCTTTTCTGCTCCTTCTATTTTTGTACGAGTCATAATGTAATCACAGCCATCTGAGTCACGCAGCAGACAGCGGGATGTGATATGTCGGCAGGTCCTCGCGTGTTCCTGAATCCCCCCGACTCGTGGCCCGTGCTCCGCCCCCCTCCACCTGTGCTCCGCCCCCCTCCACCTGTGCCCCGCCCCCTCCACCTGTGCTCCGCCCCCCTCCACCTGTGCTCCACCCGCTCGGTGATGCCGCTGGACGTTAGCCTATGCAAACATTCTGAGGGGTTTCACCAGCCTCATTCATGCGTCATAAACGTGATTATTTATGTGTCAGATTGGGGGAAGAAGCTGTTTCACTATTCAGGGGCCCTGATTATGGTAATGGAGCATGTGCTCTGAGCTTGAACGGAGTTCATGGGCCGTGTCAGGGGTTCAAAGTGAATGATGCCCACCGGACACACCCCTCTGTCATTGGGCATCAACTGTTTCATTCTATTTGGTATTTTTTGCAATGAATTGACAAACATTCCTTTTTTTTGTCACACAGGATCTGCGCAAGCAGGTAGCTCCACTGCTGAAGGGCTTCCAGGCTGAGGTGAGTGTGCTTGCCCGTCGGAGGGTATGTGCGTGTGCGACCGTCGTTATCCGTAAGTTATCTGTCACCGATGACCATTGACTCGCTGCTCTCCATTATGCCCTGTGAAGCAGCTAGAAAGAACCTGCTTTCAAATACTGGTGTGAGCATATCTGTTGGTCTGAACCCCCCTCCTTCCTGTTGACTAGGTAAACTGGTCTTCTGGTTTGGCCCTGCTACTGGGGACGGGAGTGGTCACTACTATTTGCATCACAGCTATGAAGGCTCTAACTTCAGCCACATTTAAATAACGTCCCTTAAAAGCGCTTCAGCTGAATGTGACACTGAAGCTTGTTCTATGGGTTTGATTTGTTTATATAGTCCTACTCTTAACCTGTATTCCTCTCATTCGTTTTATTAGTATACTGAGGCTGTATGAATTATGGCAATTTATGGACTCGGCTTTGTGATCCGCTGCTACAGCAGACAGTGTGGTTTTATAGTCACTTCTTTACCCTCGACTTTGGTGAATCGGTCAGTCCGGTGGGCGCTCGGGTGTCGGGTGCGGATGGACATGCTGACGGTGTAGAAGTGAAGCCACCGACCGATTGACATGGCTGTACCAGCTAACCGAAGGCCACGTGGGCTCCACACTCCGTGCGCCGTTCGTCCAGGTGGTGGGTGTCTGTCTGCCTGTGCACTATGCCTTTTTTGAATGGCCACATGGACAAAATGGTGCCTGAAGATGTATGAGACGGGGCTGAGGCAAGGCTGCAGTAGCCCGTCTCTTTATGTTGAAGGACAAGTCCGTTACTCAGGCTTGCTTGTGATGTATGATGAATTTGAACCCCCACCCCCACCGCAACTCTTCAAGTGAAGTGACATCTATAAAACTGTGTTGCTGTGATTTGTAAAGGCAAGTGCATAATGAGCATCGCTGATTGCAATTTAGCCTGTCCTCATGCATACTGCACACTTAATTTGCCATTGATGAGAGGAAGGACGGGACCATTTAAAGCGCTGGCAGGTCTCTGAATCATCTGATAACAACGTAAACACGTGTCGCCCGGTTCCCCTCGCGATGGACCCGGTCTGGGCTGAGGCTGCATGGTCTGTGACCCCCCCGCCCCTCCATCCTGTGGCCTCTCAGGTGTTCTCTGCTCCGAGAGCTGAGAGATCTGATAAGGTTTTTCGATTATTTCTCCTTCAGGAGAGTATTTCCCATTATAGGGGCTCTTATCTGACTCCCAGCTCACTCTCCGCTCCTGGGTCCGGGGTCACGGCGGTGCCCTTCACGCACTGCTGGCTGTCGTCACTGGAGATCTCAGCGGGGCAGTGAAGGAAGAAGACGTGATGGTGACGTGGATCCTAGTTATGGCTAGGAAACAAATGTGGGAGCACGGCAGAAACATGGCTGCAGGAAGAAATGCGACCTTTGAACTCAGGGTCACCGTGGTTAGGTGACTGTCATGTGACACATCACTTTATCTAGGTGCCTCTCAAATGGAGTCGGACAGCGGTGGCTGAGTCAGTTGGCTGCTACATTTAGTAGCACTGCAGCTACTGCTGCTTTTTTCTGGCTTTTTTTCTGCAATGTGTCTAGTTGACACCCCGTGCCCGGATTCCCCCCACTGCGTGCAGTGACCGCTCGCCTAGACTGTGCTGTTATTTCTCACTCTGGTGCCCCGTCCTGCTAGTGCTGTCATCCGTGGGACTCCACCCCCCCACATCAGGTTTTCTGCTGCATCATCAAGTGCTGCACTTTCCTGCCCGCTTTTTACAGCTTTGCTTTTGATAGAAGGCAGCCTCTGTTTTCGCATCTAAATTTAGACAGAAAACTTGAACCGTTATGCGAAAAAAAAAAAAATTGCTTTCACAACACTTGTCTGTGTTGAGACCACAGTGTACAGTGCCTTTCAGTCTTTGCCCGCTGGTTATCCCCGGCCTCATCCTGTTACTGTGGCCCCCATAGCTCTGAGGACCAGGTCTTTGCCATTAATAATGGCCTTCAGTGGGTGAAGCATTTGCCAGTATTATTTTAGCAGACATTAAATAGGGAACAGAAAGCTGCTGTTTGTTCGTGAGTCAATAATTGGTCAGTTGCTGTTATCAGCCAGACCTGCCATGCCATGGCTATAAATATAGAGTTCTGGGCAGGAAATCCCTAATCAGAAAACCAGCGCAGATGGGATTTAATAAAAGAAAGAGAAAATAATGCTCTCTTTAGAGCCTGAAACCCCCTAAAAATAACCCGTTTGTCCCACAAATCGCATGTTTGCACGCAAGCGTCATATTCCAGGTTTTCTCAAAGCGCTTTAGTGATCTGGATAGACCTGGATAGCTCTCCACAAAGAAAATCACATTCCAAATAAGCCCCGTGTTCCCACCATGCGCACAGAACAAGAGTCGAAGACAAGAGGAATCACAGAACCTCCAGATTCTGACCTAAAGAGAGCTTTGCTTTGAGTATTGCTCTCATTGATAGATGGATGTTGCGTAGGATTCTCTCAGAGACTTGCAGTGATGTTAAAAGAGGTACAGAACATATTGCTGCTTTTTATTTGGGAGGAGCTGCACTGCTGTGGTTGATCAGGCATCCAGAAACACTGCATCACCACCGTCCTCCTGCCCACCAGTTCATCATCATTTGCAGATTTGAAAGTCATTTTGCCTTAAGCACTTCCTCCTCACAAATAAGATAGGTAGGCGTTGAGTCCTACCAATCAGTAACTATTTGTAGAGTGTAGGTAAGGAGTTTGAAGTCCATTACTGGGGGGCAGGTTTAGCCACCTGGATGCTCTTTCAGAATCCTCTGTGGTCTCCCACTGTTTGATTATTATACCTCTGGGGGCAGAAAAATAATCTTACTGCCATTCTCAGCCACCCGACTGGGACTAATAGCCCTGCAGCACACTAGCGGTTCCTGCGCCCTATACTCTGTGTTCTCAAGTTATCTGCTCTTTGTTCTGAGGTGACTGCCATGTTTAAATAACTTCACCCTTAAATCTAAATTTTGTTTTATGAATGTAGATGCCAACTGGATGCTAGAATTAGCCTCAGTCCTTTGGCACATTGGGGGGGGGGGGGTTGCATTTTAATCTTTGATATGCCTAGGTAAGATGTAGGCTAATTGTCATAATTCTGCAACTGTTTGGCAAAGTGTTATATAGAGAACTGGACTGAGACAGAGATCCTGCAGTCCGGAATGCAGACGCGCGTCACATCGGCCTGCTCCCCTGGAAAGCCGGGAACAGGAAGTGAGGTTCTTCCCTTCTGCCGGTTCACCGTCATGGTCGCTGAGACACGAGTGGCCCTTCAGCGGCTTTAAGGGTCAGGAGATGGGCCGAGCGCCCGGGAGCTGGGGTGGAGGGAATGAGCTGGCGCTTCTTTTCCTGTCAGGAAATGAGCACACAATGGGGAGCGGGAGCACAGCATGTGGGGCACAGGCCTGAGTGTCACGGAGGTGCGCCCCCTGGTGGCTGGGGGTGGCTTTAGCATTGGAGTTCTTCAGGGACCTTGTGTGATCCACACATCTGCTTTTTGCTTTGACTGACACTGACTTATTTTTTTGCTCTCCATCTAGTCTCGTGTTTGTCCTCTGAAGTCCTGCTTGATGTGTGGCCAATCTGGGCAGCCGACTCCCTGCCTGCTTCTGTTCAGTTCTGTCAGCAGGGCCTTTAAAGGCCAGCTGATATCAAGTCAAATTTGTACGTAGAAAGGCGGCGTACAGGGCACTGCGAGGGCCACACAGAACGTCGGATGACTAGCAAATTAAATTAAGATGCTAATGAATGCTAAGAGGGCTTAGGGGCTGCTGACATTTTTTTTCCTTCTCAAAAACAAGAAAATAAGAGTAGACAGGAAGGACTTCCAGGTTAACCGCTCTGGCAAACACACATGGAGTGGGAAAGGGGCTCGGAGAAACTCGCGGCTCGGTGTAGACCCCCCCGATGGTCCTCGTCTGCTGTGCCTGCAGCTGCAAGGGGCGAGGCCACAGCTCAGAGGCGCCAACCTGGAGTACAGCTCCATCCCCTTCTAGCATCCAGGTGATAACATCTAGCCTGTAAATAATGCATATTATTTGCTAATTAAATCCATGCCAGCCACAAGCAGACCCCTAACTGCTATTTGCACATTTGCTGGTGGTGGACCCAGTGATCAATATGCACTAGTGGGTAATCACACTAACAGCGATGCTGGACAGACTTTCTATTTATTTAGCACATGCTTTTTCCCCCAAAGTGTCATGCAATTGAGGAAGCAGGGTCAGATAGTAGCTGGGTATTGGGCCTTTGAGCATTGAAATCTCTTTGCTGGCCTCGGGATCGGATCTGGCAAACTTCAGATCACAGGTGTAGAGTCCTAACGTGCAGAGCCATGTGTGACGCATGGGAGGCCCCCCTGCCGCTGAGGCACCTCCGTCTGCAGCCTGGCCGGTGCGCCAGGACCCTGCATCTCCGTAACCTGCTGACAGTAACCTGCTGGAGCAGTTCACCACCGCCATCATCCATCTGATAACCCTCACAGCTCAGTTAAGGAGCACCTTCATCTCCGGCACAAAACACAGGTTGATCTTAATCCTAATTGAACCATGGGACTGTGGAGCATTAGGAAGATGGGGTATTAATACCTTCCGTTAGCGGAGCCCCTCTGGGGATCAGTGCAGTCGGGGCCCAAGGCTTCCCTCTGAGGAGTGCAGAGGGCTTCCTAATGCAGGGGGCCTGGTGTGTCTCATCCCGCGAATGTAAATACATCCCGCGAGGCCATTTCCTGATGTCAGGAACCGTAAACATCTCCCTGCACCTCGCCGCTCTCGTCCCGTTTCAGCTGCCGGTCTCCCGGCAGCCACTGCGGGGGGGGGGGGGGGGGCTTTCCTGGCACTGGCTATTATTTCCTGCTGTAATTCCCCCCCTCTTCCATGCCCCCATCCACCATGAACTCTGCATCCCTGGATCGGTTATCCCTCAGATTAAACCCTGATCTGCAATTATAGAGTTAAGTGAGGTCCTGCCTGTGTCAGGACAGACTGTCCCCCTTCTCCCCCATCCCTCGCTACCGCTTGGGTAGTAACTGCTCCTATTTTAAGGCACACTCGCTGCACGCGCGGATGCCACCTTACGTCAGCGCTGCCCGCACGTCCCTGGGCGCCAGGTGCCAGCTGAAACCTGAATATGGCCACACCCCACTTTCGCAGCAAGCCGGAAGGTCGTTTGCATAATCTGACAGGCGGCCGCGTCGCTTCGCTCGCCTTCACTAGACATAAATCACCCAATAACCCATTTCCCCCCTCCCCCCCCCGAATCGATATTTCTGGCCAAGTAGGGTATGGCTTTAATTGTTCCATCTGTGAGAGAGTACTTGGCCTCGCCTGCCTCATCCAGATGTTTTCCATTGTAAAAAAAAAAAAAAACATCTGAAAAAGATTTAATTTCTTTCCCTTAAGAAGGAAAATTGACTCGTGCATATAGCCTATATACAGTGGCAACTGCCCTGTTTCATAAATCAGGTCTCGCTGTGCTTGTGCTGACAATTTGTAAGTAGAGATTTTAATATTTTTGTTTTTGGATTTTTATTTTCCCTGTTTGTTCTGCTGTCAGCATCAAGCAAATAACGGAAACAACTTCTAGTTGTGGTTTTCAGCCTCGGTTTGTGGGAACCCCACGTCATATTTCACTGTGACTTAGTTATCGATTGGTCAGTATAAATGCTTTTTGGGTCATTTACCCACAATAGCCACGAGTCGTGTGTGTGGGTTTTTTTTTTTTTTTTTTTTTTTTTTTTTTTTTTTTTTTTTTGAATGTGCAACTTATCTTTTATACAAAAAATAATTAGAAATCCTTGCTCCAGATTACTATTCGGTTAATTTCAGTAGTTTAATTAAAACGAACAAGATTAAATACAAGGTTTCTGGGATTAAGATGCGACGTACTGAATTTAACACAACAGTGTAAAATTACTACTGTTTAAAATCATTGGGACCATCTAATCTGACAGCAAAGTATCGTTATTGCAGACATATTCCCCACTCAGAACAGGGTTCGGCATATTAACCATCAAACCGGCCTGGTGTTTTTACCTCCCTGCTCGTGTGTTCCGGCTGCATCCTGATTTTGTTGGTTTATTGTTGACTCAGCACCGTTTAATGCAGCTAAGCAAACACTGCCCCCCATGGGTAGGATTTGAAAATGAAACGGGGGTTTTAAGGCTAATTAGCATTGCGGGAGCCTTTTCAGCTGTGGGTGTAATATGTATGGCACTGATCAGCAGCTTCGGAGAGCAGCAGTGTGACCCGCTGAGTTGGCTCTGTCCTGGGCAGCTGACTGAGCCCCTACTGCCCCCTGGAGCCCGCTGCCATTAATCGGGTCCGCACCCTCCCCTTCCTGCATGCCGTGACCCACTTTGCTGCTCCCTCGCCTCATCTGTCAGCCCGTCTGACGGCTGGCAGTGGCCGCCACTGTCTCGGGTGTCCGGTCCAGGCGGGTGGTGTCCGGTCCGGGACGGTGACCCGAGTGAACAATTCACACCGCGGAACTGCGAGTTTGCTGATGGTACCGGTGTCGCCATGACAACCCTAGTCCCATCTCAGACAAACGGGGAAGCCCAGCCGTCCTCTGGTTTGCTGTTTTCAATCAACCGGCTGCTTAAATTTCACGCAGTAGCAGATTCTCAGAAGCCATGGGCGTGTGTGCTGTAGATTTTTTCCAGACGGAATGAAAAAAACTGCCAGTTTGGGGAGAAGCTGAGTGTTATTGTCTGAAAAGGCAGTTAAATCACGTCTGTAGTCATGCTAATCACCGGTCAGAAATAGTTACCATACATATGATAGTCTCTCTATTATTATGCCTGATAGTGATGGGATTTAGTAATCGGGCAGAAGATCGGCTCGCAGGAAACGGGTTACTGACATCGAGATTGATCCAGGCGACTGGGTCACCTAACTGGCTTCGGCTGACATGTGGGTGCCCCTCATGGATGTTTCTGGAAGCTGGATGTGCAGGTTCCACCAGTCGTCTTTCTGGGAGCTTGGAAACTGCATACCGCGAAGTGCAAGGCAGAGGCGAAAGAGAACAGAAATACTAAAAGTGTTAAATCTATAAATAGTTTTATTTCTTAATGATGTTAAGATGAGGCATCATCCCAACATTCGTGGTCATGGAGGCACTCTCCGCATGGGGCAGATGTGCAGCCTGACAGCCCAGAACCCCCCCCCTCCCCCCGTCCAGGGGTGTCCCACTGCTTGCTGGGTGCGGCAGAGGGGCTGAGAGAGCATGCGTCCCAAAGCTCTGTCACCGCAGCCCAGTCTGCAGACTGTAGGGCAGCGTCTGCTGAAAGCATCACGCCTATATTAATATTAGGATGTTCCTCTGTTTTTAGGTGGGCCGGCTGTTATGGAAGCTGAAATCAAGAGGCTGTTAAAGCTGCTCTGCTCTTTAGAGGTTGGCTGATGCTTTAAGCACATCGGTCGCTGTCGAAACAGCTGAGCAGGCTTTTGTAAGCAGCAGGAACAGGTCCAGGGTAAAATGGGAGGTGGACGGGCCCTCGCTAAATGGTGGGAGGGGTGATCATCTGGTTGGACCTTGGCTGCAGCTGTGTGTGTGCGTGTGTGCGCGCGAGTGCGTGTGTGTGTGTGTGTGCGCGCGTGAGTGTGCGCATGTTACAGGGACACACACCCAGAATTTCATCAAATCCCATTTCATGTATTTTGCCACAGTTGCAGCTGTATTAGAAGGTGATGACAGCAGAAATTAGACAATGAAACGCACAGTTAATGAAGGACACTACGTGGCTGCAGGCACTACGTCCTTGACAATCTTGCCCGCTTTGAGTTTCATGGACCCATTGGCACATATTGCCAATAAAAGGTAATTTTGTAAGGTGTAGGGTACTGGTGCAATGGAAGACAGAATGTCCTCATTTGTTAGCAGTGTATTTGACAAACATTCCTTTCATGTTGTCTGTGTCATTCTTATTCAGTCTTTAGCGTGTCTTCAGCACATAGATCGGTGTGGGTAGGTTTGCCCTGTACCGTGACACTTTGGAACCTCCTTTCATATTTTCATATGTAAATCAATAAAACTAAAATTAATCTTTATTATTGCTTCCAGATATAACCTGTCACACTCAATTAATAAACATCAGGTGGTTTTTATTTTAACATATGCTTAATTTGATTAATTAGCATTCAATTTCAAGTGATCTATTTTCGGTGTTCAATTAATGTAGCGCCTTGGTTGTGATCCAGCAGAGGTAACAGATTTGGTTTTCACTTTTGGAGTGCGGTGGCTAAAAGTATCCTTTTACTATTTGCTATCCAGATGTCAGGAGGAGGTAAGGAGGTGTACATACACACGGTTGTCCGGAGAGCACTTCGTCCCAACTGCCTCTGAGCACCTCACTGTTTGTGGAATCGCTTATGTGGACTGTCAACGCGGATCTGAGTGTGACAGCGGTTCAGATGTGCTGGTGAAAATGGCACAGGAGGAGAAAACTGAGCGGCACGTCTCCCTCTGCTCTGTCTTTCAGATCGACGCCTTGAGTAAGAGGAGTAAAGAGTCTGAAGCTGCCTTCTTGAACGTCTATAAACGATTAATCGACGCCCCAGGTAAGCCCCAGCCTGGATCTTTGGGCCCCCGAGTTCCAGCAGAATCTGCTTACTGATACTTCTTTCAACTGTTGGGACTCGTTTCCCGAAGTCTGTTGCGGTTTGCGGTGACCGTGGCGGGAGGGAGGTAGTGGAAGAGCCGTTTTTGTGGTGGCTTAGCGTGGACTGAGACAGATAGCGGTGGCCCTGCAGGCCTGCTTGAGCACAGCAGCACGGAGGGCCCCTTAGATGCATCACTGGATAAGGTGCTTCACATAGTCTCTCCCCACCATTGCCGAACCCACGACGGGCGCTGGTCCGGCCAGAGTGAGCGAGAGGCACCTGGGCTCCCGTGTGTGTGTGTGTGTGTGTGTGTGTGGTAGAAAGGGCCATGATCCATAATCTTGTTTGTGTGACGCTCGTGCTTCTGCCAGTCTGGAAATGTCTGCGCATGTTTATCCGTTTAATCTGCTGCCTGTGTTTTCCTATCTGACTACCTATATCTGTCTCTGGGTGTGATGGTTGCGTGACTTATCTTTAAATAGGTGCTTGTGTGTCTGTGTGCCTGCTTCAGAGCGCCTGCTGTCTCGGCTGCTTTCCGGCTGCCTTCCCAGTGGCCCTGAGCTGCAGTGACTTGCTCCAGGTCCCTCTGCTCCTCATAGGTGTCAAACGCAGTATCCCCTTCCTCACACTCTGCTCTCAGCCCCTCCACCTTCATCTTTGTGTGCTGCTTCCGCCTGCTGCCTGCGTTCTGGCATTGGCGCAGGGTCATGCCCTCCACTCCCTGCTCACTCGGTAAAGGAGCATTGCTCTTTGATCCCTCCTGTGTCACGGTCATTCAGTCTGACTCCTCTTGGCCTGACATTCCTGCCCATGCCGGAACCAGAGCTTGCCTTGGCCGTGCCGGGTGATTTGGTGGAGTTCGGTCAGTGTCTCCGGCTGTGATGAGCTGGCGGCCTCCACACACTGCCGGGACTCTGTCTGGGGGCACAGAGCCTGTCAGAGTGAACCAGGGAGCGATGCTGTCTCATCTTGGTACTGCAGAATTCACTCGGGCATTTTGTGTCCAGCCATATGGAGCTGGACCCTCACGATTTCCTGTCATGCTGTGTTTACGTGACTAAAAAGAGCATCCACGGTCGGCAAGGCTCATCACACACACCCACACACACACACACACCCAGCCAGTGCTTGTGGGAACTGCCAAACTGCCTCCTTTTGATGCAACAAATGAATCCTCTTCCTGCCACTCCTGACAGAACGCAAAGGTGATAAAAAGGGGAATGTTTGGGATCCTCTGCTTCTGTATTTCAAAAAATGGGAAAAACTCTTAAAATATACCCGGCTTAAAACTCTTAAAATACACCTTTCACATAGATGGCTGTGGAGGAGAACATCAGCTTGGTCGTTACTGGTAGCCTCTGTCCAAACCTCGGTCCTCCGTCTGCGATGTACATGCGCATCTCCTGATGTTTTTCTGATTAGCTCTTCGTTACCAAGGAACTCTGCCCCATGTCGGTCTTTTAAATATTAATTTTACTGCTGCTGTTTGGTTTCTTGGGGGTAACCCTGTTTGCATGGACATGGCAACAAAATGAGCTAAATCAGGCTGAATTTCACCTGAATGCTGGAACTCTGGTTATGTTTTGGCATCTGCTTCTTGGTCAACTTTTACAGCCCTTTGACTCCAGCTAAGACAAAGGGCAATGTGAGGCTACCGTGACCCCAATCCACCATTATGGCTGATTTTATCTTCGTCAAACTCAGCCTGTAGGGCCGTGTCATCATCACTGCTGCTACACCCCCCCACCCCCCGATTCCTTCATGCCCTTCTTCCCCCTCTCCCCATCCTGACGGGACTCTGGGGGCTAATGTAATCATATGATTACATAATTAACCCAGCTGTCTCGTTAAAGAAAATCAACTGGAATCGGGGCATAATTAGTCATACGGCAGTTAGTGTGCTGATGACGGCTGCTGATGAGATGGCCTGGCATGAGGCTTCAGGGAGGGAGGGGGCCACCCCAACCTCCCCTCCACCTCAGGGGCAGCAGTGAAACGCGGGGGCTGGGTCTGGTCTGGTTTCGGACCTTACGGGGGTGGGGGGTGTCGGATGACATTCATCTACCACTTAGCCAGTGTTATTTATGGGGGAGCCTGTCACAGTCCAATCCAAAAACATCAGTTTGAGTAAAGGGGGGGCTCAGTGTAGTTGGTGTCAGCCTTGGTGGTGTGTGTGTGTGTGTGTGTGTGTGTGTGTGTGTGTGTGTGTGTGTGTGTGNACGGGAGCGATGCATAGGAACAATGAGAAAGGGTGAAACCCCAAGTAAGGGTAGCTGTCAGCCAGGCAACCTGTAATCTCTAACTCGCAAAACAACGATACAGACAACTGCCAAAAAACTCACAAGCTGTTTTGTGCATGAGTGTGTGTGTGTGTGAGAGAGGGGGGGAGAGAATTTACAATTGTTACATTGTGGAGACCCACTGTCAAAATCTAAAAATGCCAAAAGTCTTTTGTTTGGTTACCTATGGCTAAGGTTAGGGCTGGGTATGGGTTAAGGTCATCATTATTGGATCAGGGTTTTTCATATCAAAATGGAGATTCCCCATAAAGATACGAATACCTTATCTGTCTGTGTGTGTGTTTCAGACATCCTATTTGTGTGTGTATTCCGGAGGATAAAGTCTGCACAATTATAGTAAATCCAACAACCTTGGATGTACCTCTTAGCCAGTAGGTTACCTCACACTTTAGCGTATTCGATGCAGTAATGTTAGGAGACTCACGGAGGTGACGGCCGGTGATGATAGTGTGTGTGAGCGAGTTGTGCAGAGCGAGAGCGCATACACATCCACTTGCCTATCCCTCGTTCACTCGTCACCGCCTGAGCTTCTGCCCGCTTCGCTCCCTCTGCCGTTTCGCTTCAGCAGGGACGTCTAGGCTGGCAGCACCAGGCACTTTTATTTACACCAGCAATTAATCCCCCTGGGATTCAAAAGCCATGCAGGGGCGCCAGGGCCAAAACGGCACCGCATCCATTTGACAAAATAAAAACAGAAAATTGGAAGACTAAATAAATCTTAATCTTGTTTTTACACAGCTATAAAGATTGTTTTCATCACATCTGCCCTTAATGATTAATCTCTGGTGCTATTTTGGGTGCCTTTGCTGGTCCAGGAAACGGCTAGCATGTTTGTCAGAGAGGAGTGTTTACCCGATGGGACCTGACGCACAGCCTCTTCGGTGCAGTTTTCTCTGAGTTCCTATCGTGACGCTTCTAGCGGTTCTGTTTCTGATGAGTTGGTCTTGGTGGAGGTGCAGTTAATATGGCCCCTGTTTTTGATGAGGTTTCCTATGTGCTGCAGCCTTTAAGAGTCAGACTGCCGAAGCGCCGATTGATTCGGGTCGGGGAATGGGGCATCTGCGCTGCTGGGCCTTCTTCCCCTCCCATGGACGGACCTCTGATGGTCCTGTCCAGGCCCTGGCCAGCCGGCCGCTGTGACAGGCCTGGAAAGACTCTGCGTGTCGGCGCGGCTGAGAGGGCCTCGTTTGGCACCGGCAGCAGCTGTCGGCGGGAAGCAGGGTGTCTTGGCAGCAGGGCCGTTTGACACTCGTGCCCTCGCGGTGCCGCCCTTGCAGACCCCGCGCCGGCCCTGGAGGCGAGCCAGCAGCTGCAGCTCAAGGTGCAGAAGATGCATGACGTAGAAACGGAGAACCAGAAGCTGCGGCAGACTCTGGAGGAGTACGACAAAGAGTTTGCCGAGGTCAAGAACTATGGTGAGCTGAGCCGAGCCAGACCTCACTTTGTTAAACAAAGTAAGGGTGCAATGATGAGACATGTGGTGTTCTTAATGTTAATAACTGTAGCCCGTAATTGCTTCAGGACATGGGATGGAAAGGTGGGTCATGCTACAGAACTCGGGCCCACACAAGGCTTTTCAGCCCGAGGACATCATCACATGTGATGGCCAGAAGGGCGTGTGTAAAATGATATGACATGCACGATTTATTACTACACGCGTTTGAGGGAGCATGCCTGTAATTATTCCATCTTTGTAATCATATTTCTTCTTTTTGCTGCCCTTTTGAACATTGGCAAAAAAAAGGCCCCGTCACATGCATTAGATGTCTGCATGCCCCCAGTCATAATATCCTCTGTAGCGGTTCCAGGTCTG